AACAATCCAGAAAGATATTTCGTGATAATTTGATCATTGGGTTTTTTGATGTTTGCAAATGCTGTATCTTCCCTTTAATGTACTTACTTGATTACACGAGGTCATTTAATCCATCTAATGGCTTGTCCTGTAACTTCATCCATAATTCTATTGATGACTACTGTGCATACTTTGTACTGTACGTGAGTTGATATGGGTTACAAGTGCATCCTGATTATAATTACTACCAACAAATTCAAATTCTGAAAGATCCAAACTTTTGTTGGATCTTGTTGATGTACATGTAGTCTTAGTAGTGACCAAAACATGTGGGTTTTTTTTTTTGGGGGGGGGGGGGGGGGGTTCTGGCCTATAATGTAATTTGTTTTGGCAAATTGTCACACCCTTGTTATGGAAACATTAAGAGCCCTAGCTACATGTAAATACTCCAAGATGCTAACGTTCAAAATCCAAGGGTGACGTCAAGGCAAGTACTCTCACTGCGAATTTGCAAAAGTTGAATACGTTTCATCTCCTGTGAATTTTTGCATTGAATGTTTCAAGATGTCAGATTCACTTCGCATTGACACTCGCGTGACGTATTCACCGGCCTTAAGGCCAAAAAAAAAAAATATTCGGTCTCTGGTCAGACCAAAGTTCCGGAATTGACGCGGCCACGCGGCTTTTTTTTTTTTTTTTGCTTTTTTTTCTTTTCTTCAAGCTTGGATTGTACAGACAAGGTGGGTACTATTTTGCTTTTTTGGTGTCCTCATGTACATTGGTGTCCTCCATAATTTGCCTTGGTGCTTTCGATCATTTGCCTCGGTGCAATTTCCCATTCCTTGGTGCTCTTTGGTAAAAAAAAATGAGGAGGTGCGGCAATAGAGGGTGCTGTTGGAGCTACCGCGGAACATTTTAGAAAAAAAAAGATTGACACGCATGATTAAAATCGACGCGCGTGCTGACCAGAGACCAACTTATTTTTTTTTTTTGGCCTAACAGTCATTCCACTTTGACAGCCATTAGGGGTACCTGCATTTCTTTTCTCTCCATCGTTAGCGGAAGTGGAACCCATCCTTCTCAGACACGGCACCTGCTCCAACCATTTGTAATGTTTGTATCCCACCCTCCGATACAGAAAGCAGCACTCACAGTCATTTGGAAAGATCAATATTATCTCTTTTTTTCTGTACATGGACTGGCTGTTTCCATAAACACACCTGTAGGCTATTACATGAACAACACCACTGTGCAATGTGCAGCGCATGAATGCAAAGTATGGAAAGGTAATGTGGCACACAAATTTAATATGTTTCATGCTCTTGCAAAAAGCGGGGGCGGATTCGGCGGAACATACATTTGTATATGTGAAAGTATACATGCACCTTGTACAAAATGTATACCTATTCTGTACCTCTCATTGTTAATGATCCAAAAATTGGGGGGGGGGGGCAAAATTCATCAAAAGAGCAGGGCCTAAATATCCTGCCTGTGCTCACAAAATAATAGTCAACTTTGTTAGAATTATCTGCTAGTTACGCATTCAAGGTGCGCGTGATAATTAATGTACCAAACTGCAAGACAATCGCCATGCTTTCGCAGAAAATTTTATAAAAAGTGTACAAAAATATCAAAGGTTTTATTATTGCAAACAGGAGTTTCTTACAGTAAATAGGACAGTTTTGTGCAAAATTCAAGTCTGAAACAATGTCAAAAAAGTAATTTTCACATAAATTGCCAGTTTTATAGGAGTTTTTAAGGTGCACAGATCTGGATTTGTAACGGGATGTAACGCTGTAATGCAATACATTGTATACATTTAAATGCGTGTGAGAGTAAATGAATTGTGATGTATACATTTGTATACATATTTCTGTGAGTGATGTATGGGTTGATTGAGATCTCATTAAGCGTGTGCAGTGAGGCGATAACTTTTTTGTATGCATCATTACGCTGAACATATAATGACTGAAGGCCTTTGCTAAAGGTCGTTGACCCCTTCCTTTTATAGTGCATATTTCAAACCTCATTGCACCACAATTTTTGGTTGCTGGTTCGATTCCCACAACAGTCAGTTTTTTTTTGTTTATCCAAAACAGAACTCGTCACACTTCTGTGAATCATGCACCGTTTCTAAATTAAAATCAAAATTTTAAATTCAATAAATCAGAAAATTCTGATTATGTCACAATGCAGAAATATCCGTACTGAAATCTTAACATGTAGTTAAAAAAAGCCAAAAATATTGAGGGTTTGATAATTGACCATTAAAACATTTCCTCAAAAAGCTGAATTTCTGTGTGTGGTTTCTTGTAGGCCTATAATTTGCTCGTATTTTGACATCTTTCTTTAAAGAGACAAAAAGTTTGTCTGAATTTGAAGGATAGGAATTTTGTCTCATAAAAACCATGACAATATATTTGTTAGTGGTTAAAATGCAGGTGTGCCTCTCTTGTATAATGTCAAAATTCTGTACATTATTGCAGTCGGAGAACTGTACATTAACACACCTTCGTGTACCATGCATGATGCCAACTTGGATTCAATCCAGACGACAGAACATGTTAATCTGATCACTAGCGCCCCTAATTTGTCATCCAATTCTCGGCAGCACACCACATTTAAGCCAGGGGGAAAGGGCCAGAAAATGCACCGTGCGTGGACGTGATTTATTCATGTGTTGGAACCTCAGCTGTCATGATTGTTTTAACATTTGTAAAGGCCACTTGTCTGGAAAAACATTGATTTGTGCATACGCCGAGTTCATTTATTCAGATTTTAGGACAAAAAGTGTTCAGTTTGTTTCAGAATTCAAGAGAGAGTTTTGGTAACAATGTGTGAAATATTCTTGTTAAATTGCGAGGTTTGTGATAAAAATTCACTCAGATAGCACTGTAATGTAGTAATCTTGACTAAATTTGCCTGGGCTTGTGCATGTACGTATGGCTTGTATGGAATTGATGCAACTTTGTAGACAACAAAATTTGTTGGGTCTAGGGGAAAAAAAGTAATCTTCATTAGCCCTCCTACTGTTTGAGCAGTCACAGACAGTTAGAGTTCCATCCACTTCCCCTGTCATGCCTTTTACACAGGCTGGTCACCAACAGTCGGATGATATTTTAAGCAAGCACTGTGACTAGTCAAACTCAGTCAACAGACAAAAGCAGACAAGTGGTATGCACAGCTGGCTTATCAATCACCTACAGTCAAAGCACAGCTGTATCAAGTTGCATTTATAAACAGTCGCAACCAGTCAATCTTGCTTTACACAGGCTGGGAGCTCTTAACCGTTGAAAACAGTCACTTGACTGATTTGACTGAAAGAACAACTTAGCACAATGTACGTTTGCATAGGAGGGTTAAAGCAAGTTTGGATAAATCGCAATAAAAGATTCATCTTCAAGTTACCCCCTTTATTGTAATGTAATTGTAACCTGGGGTATAGTCCCCAGACTACATAGTGTGATGTATCAGTAAATTTCCAGGCCCTTTCCAGAATTACACTATGACAGTGATTATAAGGAGACTGTTAACAAGTACATGTAAATGCTTTATTTAGTCTTAACTCAATTTGAATAAGTTGAAGCCTTAAATCTGTCTCATTTGTTTCTGATCCCTGGCTAGACTGATTGTTGATCTTACTCCAAAAAAACTCAGTACCGACTCTTCAAAGAACATGTCCACAAACACGCGAGTCCAAGCACTCCAAAACCAATTTCGCCAGTATTTTCTGCCTGTCTGAACTACGATAAGAAAACAGACCGGCGTCGGCCGAGCGTCGGCTGACGATTCGAGCCGAAATGAAATCCCCGTGCGGAGATTGTTGTCGTAACCCAAAAGATCAATTTATCTTCTCTTGAAGGACATCTCTCGGATATGCCTGATTTGATCTCTCTCGCCCTCTGCTTCATCGTATTACGTACGTCTTGGATCTTGGATTTCTTCTGTTTCCCAGAATTTTATTATTATTTTTTTTTCAATTTAATAGTATTCAGTCATTCAGTATAATTTTGAGTCCTTTTGAAATATTGGTGCTTGTTTTTTGCATGCATGCCTGTCCTCTGTTTGTAACTTTGAACAGTGTGTATTTTTCTGTTTAAAAAGTCTTCAGCCAAAAATATTAACAGTTTCTACTGAAAAATGTACACTTGTTAATTTCATCATCATAATGATTGTCAAATTTGTGTTTCTGTGTAATTTCTTTTGCCAAAGTGGATGGTCACTTGGTTTCTGCTAAACAGTTACCGGTACATGAAATGTTATACGTCTTTACTGCATCTGATTGTTACTGAAGTTCTACTTTATAAGCCAAGTGCAGTATCAAGATTCTTCAAGGGATCTTGCAGACGATGGTTACAACTCTTACTTTTCTCGACGTTTGTGAAACAGCGTGCTGTCTCACTTAAAGTAAACCCATAGATGAAATTCCAAAGTTTAGGTCAGACTTTCTTATCAGAACTAAAACTACTAATAGCGAAAGTTGATAATAAGCAGGACAGGTTCTTATCAGAACTAAATATCCACTGAGCGACAGTAGTTATTACCACATGGTGTTACCGCAAACCCAAACGAAACTTATATTTGCTTATTAATTAAAGTGTCTTTGACCCTTCCTGCAAAGGAAAAAATATCAATATTTGCTGTTGCAGCTTCTCAAATCAAATCAGAGATCAAAAATGTTTTTTTTTTATGGTTTTGGTTATAATTATGATAATGCAGGTACTTAGGGTCCTCGTATCCATTTCAGTGGTGGTAAGTTATCAGCTATCTTTTCAAATGAAAAAGTTTGTTGAGTTAGTAATAATCGTTTTCCAAATTTGGAAGTCCAATATGCCAGATTTCATACGTGTATACTCTGCCTGCATCCATGGACTTGAGAATCCATGGCAACAGATGCTGTCATTTTGTAACCATGCCGTCATGGCAACGGTCAACCTCCAACCGTGAATACAGCTGCAGCCTGGATACTGACACATCACCACTGTTGATGTTGAGACGTAGTTGAGATGGACTGAATGGTGAAGTGAGCCCTCTCTTGACTCACTCCTTCCCATTGAAGCATGCATCCCCCTCGCTCGTTGATGAGATTGTGTGAGCGTGCTGTGGTTGACACCTTACCGTAGCATAATGACTATTGGCACCACAGTCATGTTGCACAGCTTTCGTCGTTTTAACATACGAGTATCCGATGACCTGCTAACTAAGGGGTATGTTTTCTCTGTGTTGCATGTTGTCGACGTTGTTCAGTCCGTACGACATTGTCTCGTCGTCGTTGTCAAGCTTGCTTGCTTACCCTTGCATGGCTGTGTGACATTTGCTGGCATGCCTGCACGTTTGCATTGAAGAACTTCTTCAAAATTTCTTCAGCCATTGTTGCTGGACACTTGTTAGATCTTTAAGGAATTTGTAGGTTTTTACTTTTTAAGATGTTCATGTACAGTTAAATTATGATTGAATTTAAGATTTTTCTTTTAGTATAGGCAGCATATTACATTCAACAAGCAGTTATTGTTTTGGTCCAAATATTGTCATAAGGAGGGAGCGCTTGTTTTGATAACTGATCACTCCGTTACATGAGACTTCACATGTAAATTCATTTCGGGCAAGGTTACTATCACAATCTGCAGTCATACTGTATGTCATTCAGAATGGTTCAAATCTAATATTTTGTTTTAAAACTACATCTTAGTCTCAGTTTGACTTTCATAAATTGTCTTCAAAGCAATTTTTTCCCCCTCAATATTTGTTCAGGAAACAAATTATAATGCAAGTGTGCCTATTTTCACACAAACTCTTAATGGAATTTTCCTGATTCGGTTAATTACATATAATTTTCTGTTGACATATATTATTGATAGCCCTACCGTGTCCTTACGTGTATTGCCTTGCTGAGTTATTAAACCAAATTTAAGCATTTTGGCCTTCAAGTTGTGACTGCATCAATTGCCATGGTAACGTGTGAGCCAATGGAGTACTCAAGCCACAATGGACAACTTGAAGATTGCAATGTTTAGCTAAAAGAAATTGTAGACATTGCTGTTATTTTGATGCTTCCGCAGTTCCGTTCCTATAATTCCCTTGTTAGCCACGGTAGTTTCTTCTTTCAACAGAGATTCCATTTGGGAAATTAACATGAAAAGGTTAACATAAATACTTCACTATCATCCACCAAAGGGTTAGAATTTAATGGATCTAGAGAGTAGGCCTACATAATTAGCATAATATTGACTCACCGTTTCTTTGAATTAACCCCTTCGTAATGCCTTGACAACTTTCCTTTTAAAAGAATATATCCATTGTCAAAAATAGTTAGGTTAGTGAATATTTTCATTAATTCCTAGAAATGTGAAGTGTTAGTGAAGTCCACGTGTTTACGAGTATGATAAGCACATCTTTGCCAAACCTGATGATAAAATCGGCGGGAATATTCCGAGCATTATTGGGAACATGACCCACGTCCGATGTGAGTCATGGCACGCTCACAGGAAACCAGCCCTCGGGCTTGGAGTGTTTTAGTTTTTTTCCTCGAACTGGCAGAATTTAGTCTAGACCTGATGATTTTTACTTAGCTGAATGTCTTCACAGTATCTTGTGAGTAATCCTCCTGTCTCCTTAGTTCTGGGATGACTAATGTTTGGCTAGTGAACGATGGGAAAATAATTGTTGCTCTTGGATCTTTGACGCATACACGTGTTTGAAAAATGTGTTGAAAAAAAGTTAATCTCTTGAACCATTAAGGGGTGTTAACATTGTAGGGCCATTCTTTGGTCACTGTGTGACATAAAATTGGGCTCGTCTGATTTTTGAAGCTTTACCCCTTGTTAACTACATCTGACTTATTACTTTCACTGATTCATCAAGTTAGTACTTTTTACTCCCTACCTCAGAGTATCTACCGGTAGTTTCTACTTTCACAAATTGTGTCGAAATATTAGCAGGGGTCATCAAAGTTTGGTCACGTGTGTGACATCAGACGAAAAAATGTTATCCGGCCCATATCGGAAATTCATGTTTTTATCCAAAATTTTAAGGACACACACACACCCATACTTATTTTGGAGGCTAGTCTTTTGTTATTTACAGAATGCATTAACAATGTACACCCTCTGCTTTAGTTTTACTAAATGGAAATTGTTCTGTGGTCATGTCAGTGACATTTTGATCTGTCATGTGTGTGACATTTTGTAATTAAAATTATGCTAATTTATGCACGGAAAGACCAATTAACTTATAAAACTTCTTAAGAAATCTGCATCTTTACTTACTAGCAGCACTTATGAACAATAATCGTTTGCATTACATCACAAAAACTTTTTTCCCCCAAAAATAAGTTAGGTTCAATTTCTGAAGAATTGCCCTGTATCAGTTGTTTCATACAGTTTGAGGAAAAATCTAAGAAATTAACCACTCCTTGCAAATATTACACAATAGGCAAATTTATTATCCAATAGTCGTGTGTCTGAAAGATATATATAGGCTATCACCCAAAATGTTTTATGAGAAAAACAAATAACATTCTGTGGTCTAGATAAGAAATAGGGCAGGACAAACATCAAATATTAAAAAAAACAATATAATTTCAACAATGTTGAACAGTAGAAGCATGATATAAGAAACTGCCAAAGATGAAGTCAAGATGTTGTAGGGAAGATGTGGGTGATTTATTACAAGTTGTCGACATGAACAGGTTGAATCGTTGACACATGGTGGACGCGCGGCCCAAAAGTCCTCCATCAGTAGGTTTGCGAATGAAGCAGATGTTGAGGAATCTTTCCAAGTCTTTAAGACGACTACGAACATGCCCGCATGTACTCTGGGTGTCCAGTTTCATTTTGGATTCAGGAGGAGGACTTTATCCGTCTTGATGTTTCTTGAGAAGCAACTGGCTATCATCCATCTCAAGTGAAGTAGCTCGGAGCAAGTGGCCTCTCGTAATCATTACATTTCTTAAAGATGAGCAGTCGACAAAAACTTGCAGTTTATCTGGAGCAAGTGGCCTCTCGGAATCATTACATTTCTTAAAGATGAGCAGTCGACAAAAACTTGCAGTTTATCTGACATGTCTGAAGGCGAAGCATTCAGATTCTTTTCAGTTGAACTGAGCAAAAAAGTTGCTAAATTTTCAACAAATTTTATGACGTTTGTTCACTACATGACAAAAATTGTAATCCAACTTGACACATCTGAGGATTTTGGTATTGATACATGTAGCATCGTGTATCTCGTTTTTGAGTTGTTCTTAAAAAAAACAGTTCTCCTAAGAACCAAACCACTAAAAATGTGTTAAATGAACTTAAGTGTTTAAACAGCAACTGAAATAGTTCAGATTATTTCCTAGATCTCAGTCAAAGTAAATCGTTAAATAGACAAACTCTGAAGAAATTAACCATAGAAGAACCCATGGGCGTCGCCAGGATGAGACAAGGGGGGGGGGGGGGGGGCAAAAAGGGGAAAAAAAAGAAAAAAAGAAAAGAAAAAAAAAGAGGTGTGAAGTCATATTTGCTATAAAATGGGGGTCTGCAGGGGTGGTAATTTATCGAATGCATTTATCAGGATCTCAGAGGACTGTCTCTGGCAACAAAATTTTAGCCCTTGTCGGAAAACCGATTCCTCACGAGAAACACACAAAATATGAGACTGCTATTCCTGTCCTCCACCCGCCCTCCGAATCCCAAGCCAATATGAAATGATGTGGCACTTTGGTGATGCCCTGACCAAATTAGATTTTGAAATCCACTGTCAAACAAACTCATGTCCTTATAAATTGCTACATGTGATTGTCGCAGGATGTCAGAATACCCGTTCTACGTACTGACATAAATCAGAAATACCCACGAGAAGCGTTGCTGACAAAATGCATTTGATCACATCTTTTATCACCAGCTGAGAAGAAGCACACTTTACATTGTACATAGCCCTACGACATATTTATTACTTAGCGGTATTTGCCCAGAAATGCTCTACGCCTAGCAAGAAATTGCTTTTTGATTCCATGTAAATCCCCCGTAATCCCTGTAGCTTATTTTTATAAGTGTTCTGGGAGTTGGGAATATGTTGACTACTGGCTGTCCTGGCTGTACGGAAGATGATGGTACATGTACAAATGTATGTGTCGTCTGAATGTAGAATGTTCTTAACCTTAGTTTTTATAACGAAGGGCCTTTATTAAGTGGCTTATTTTATTCGTAGCAGTTTTGTTCCATGCTTTGTTATTTAAACTTAAATCGTATTTTGTTTGTGTTACACATGTAAATATTTGCAACATGTGTACATGTGTAGATCATGCATACATGTACATGTACATGTGTACATGTACAGGTCCCCGCCCATTAGTTTTTTTATTAGGCCAAAAAAAATAGTTCTGCTTCCGGTTTCCCTACCTACCTTATTCTGACAGCCCCTACCCTTTTTTTTTTTATTGGAAAAATGAGGGGAAAAACACCCAAAACCATCAATTTCTACCTTTTACCCTTGACTACATGCAGATACCTCCATATATGATCGTACACAAAAAAAAATTGCAAAAAAAAATAATAATTCCCTACCTACATGTACCTACCCCATTTTCAAATGCCATGTAATCGGAAGCAGAACTATTTTTTTTGGGCCTTATGATTACCCCTAATGAAATCTTGCCCACATAAGGTCCACCTGTGAACCCATCTTGCCCACACATTGATTTCACATTAGTCATAAATTCAATACACAACCCGAAACCCATCTTTTTCATCATCGTTGGAAATAATCAAAATGCAAGAATCTTAAGAACTGAAGATGTACGTATCCTCTTGACCTTATCGGATGATGAAATTTGATGACAAACCGATGATCTGTATGCCATATCATCTCTGCAGATGATATGTGTAGATTCTCTCGTCAAGGTCAGACGAAGATTAAAATTGAAGATTGGAGAATCTCAAGTACCATTGCGTAATATATTGCACAGGTCTTGCTCCATATTTCGGCTTCAAGTATGTAAGTGTGATATTAAAAATCCAATCAATTATTGACAGGTTTTTTGCTTGCAATAGAAAATCTCTCACAGCAGCAGGTGCAAAATATAGATTTTTTTGGGCTGTGATTTCTTTTTTCTGTTTTCCAGCAACCGGGCCCTTTTTTGGGGGGGGGGGGGGGGGGGCAAGGTGAACTGAAGGGGTCACAAGCGTTAAATTGTTGGCATTGGAACTGATTCCCAAGGAGGAATAAG